TGCTTGCCATTCAGCCTGTTTTAGTAGAGGATTTTATAGCTGTGTGGATCATGGGAATTGATGTCAGCTTTAAAGATATGATCTATGCAAATATGACTTAACTTTATGTATAATCTCGTTCATATGACTGCGTTTATTCATGAGAAAAGTACCTTTCTTGTTAAAATGCTTGTTGTTTTAAGTACCTTTTTAATATTATATTGTAAAATATTGAATATCAACATTTTTCATTTCAGATTTTAGTTAGTAAACCTGGAATTGTGCAGAAATAAAACGTTAAATTTTAGCCAAAAAAAGGTCACTGGAAAAAAAGAAGCGTGAATATATGGCCAACCTAACTTAGATAGAAAGAAACATTAGACTAAGCTCATGACCAACAGGTAACGCTTTTGTTTTCAAATACAGGAAACGGATAAGAGCTAGTAAATGATACAATGGATTACCTGAGGCAGCAATCACTGACAAAGGGGGACTCCCTCAATTACCCTTAAAGACGATAACAAAAAAACACAAAACCACAGGTATCAGGATGCGTCTATCGTGGAGGGACAATTTTGAAACACGTCCAGGAGGACACAGTCCAGAATTTTCTCCTTTGGCTAGGTTATGGTTTAATCTTGTGAAGCATAATGGGAGATGTACCTCCGCATAAATGGGGGTTTGCAGAGAATGGTTAACATGCTATAGGGCACTAGGGAGGGTACCAGTTTGAGACCCCCTTCATTCTTCACGTAGGGATGACAAATAGTACCATGCAGATTGTTGGTTCCACGGATCCTGCCTAAACCCTGGTCTAGACAGCTGCCTAACGTTACCTTATGGTTAATCCTGCTCTGTTTACCGTTTTTGCCAGCTTTGCCCTAACATGTAAAAAATGTGTTCCTAAAATCCATGGTTAATTATAGAGAACAGAGAATGTTAAAGCAGAGTTAAAATATTTGTATTGCTTGTAAACATAGGCACAGAACAAGTGCAGCTTTTGCGCTATCATTCAATGAGAAGCATTGTACTTATCAGGATTCTGAGAACCACTTGTCGTGTCATGCTTAACAGGCAGTGTGACGTTAGAATGTTCCTGGTCACACTCTTATGGTGACTTTGCAATTTTCTTTATTCATTCAATGGCAGAGATAAATACACAAACATCATGGTTCACAGGGGTTTAAAAGAATATTGTCCTTGCTAAAGGTAACTCCAGTTAAATGGTAACTGACTATCAACATAATACAGAAACATATAAACAATGTAGAGATAAATTATATGATACAGTTATAAAAATATACACATTACCGAGCAGTTACCGAGGAGTTAGGTGCCTAGGGATCTACAGCTACAAAGAAGAAACAAGATGCCTATTTATTTAAACATATGCGTCCAGGAGACTAGGCATAACTTTTTAAGCACTATTCTCCACCCCACAGTTCATGTGGCAGAGAAAGAGCTTAACTATCTATCAAGTCGACATGAGTGCAGATAAGACACAGAAAATCTACTAGAAAATAGGCACCATTCTCATAGAGGATCATAAATATCTTGTGTGAAGATCACCAAGAGAGGGGGGAGAGAGAGAAAAAAAAAAAAAAAAGAGCAAAACTGTCTAAAGCATTTTTTGGGCAAGACGACCATAGAATTCAAAGTTGAGTTGTAATACAGGTTTTTAGTAAACCTGTGTCTTATCTGCACTCATGTCGCTTTAACCCCTGTATCACAACTCAACTTTGAATTCTATGTGTCGTCTTGCTCAGAAATGCTTTAGACCTGAGAAAGGATAGTTCTACCGAAAGCTTGTCATGAAAAAATTCTTTGAGTCCAATAAAAAAGGTATTGCAAGATACGGATTTTATCAGTTTTTTACATACATATATATATATATATGAACTGAAAATGTTTAACCTGTAAATATACCTTGAAATATTCAATTAATATGTTTGGTTCTATAGGAGATGGTTGATAGCCATGATTGCTGAAGCTACTAACACTGATTGCTAGTCCAATTAATCCAACTAAAAAAGATTTAAAGTCCATTTTAGTATTAGTATCATCATTCAGTGCACATCTGGCCTACCCAAGGCTATTTTTTTCCCGGTGCTTGGATAAAACTGGTGATATCCACTTTTATTCTCTGGAGAAAGGTTGTCAGCAATATTATCGAACAGCATGGCACTAGAGTAAAGTTGAATACCTATTAAAATACAGCGTGGCACGAGAGTAAAGTTGAATACGTATTATAATACAGCGTGGCATTTGAATAAAGTTGAATACCTATTATAGTACAGCGTGGCATTTGAATAAAGTTGAATGCCTGTGAATAATTAAAAAATGCTTCTCTTTAATAAGTAACTACAAATATAGATGGGCAGTGGAATGCAGTAAACACAACAAATCACATCATTATCATTTAACTTCTTTGCTCCGCTCTATATAATTTCAGGGTTAATCAGTAAATGGGGAATTATTGGTAACTGACCACTGAATGTCAAACTATAGACCAGGATAGCTGATCTGAACAATGACGTAAAATATGTAATTATTTTCTAAATTATCCAGAATTTCACGTTTAGTAAATAATCCTATTTGTATCTTTTGGGTGTTCTGCTATGTGATACACTAATTTCTCTAAGTCCATCACATACCCCTTGTACACTAAGACACCTGGAGAAGAGTTTACCCTAACTGGTTGATCCATTTTGGTCTCTCTTGCAGAAGGCAATTCATCTCTTCACTGTTTCATGCCATTTTCATTGTTTTTCCAATTGTTCTTCTCTCCCAATCTTCTTTCCTTTCCCCACAGTACATTATAGTATACAGATCAGCTAACGTAAAGGTCATGTTCTTTAATTCTAAGATACTGAATGTTCCCCTCGACACTCTAAACAGTACAGTAACCTTTCGATGATTTAAATCTCCATCGCATTTTTTCCAGGAGATGCATTCCATCTATTTTTACTTCTAAGATAACTAAATTACTGATTGCTGTCATAAATCTCTTTCCAGTGTCCATCTTCTCTGCACGGATTTAGGGTCATACAATATTTTGTTTTTCCAAAACAAATAAAATGTTTCAAGATTTGAACATTACTTTTGTAATTTTCCCATATGTATATATACTACGATATTATTACTGTTTATCGCTACACATTTTGAATAAATAGTTTTGGTGAATTAAGGGGACACTCCGGACATTTAAACCACTTTAGCTTGCTGAACCACTTTAGCTTTATGTGTCCTCCATTTTTCATTTTGGAAAATGTACAGATTTCAATAGAAATTGACATATTTATAAATTAAAATGGTTACACCCCTTGGCTGTCAATCATAGAACAGGTCCTGTTACTTCCTGGTTGTTTATCTTAGTGGAGCTACACTCAAGAGGCAGGAAACTGCTCAGAGCTTTTAAAGACTTATTGAGCTGAGTTGGAAAGTTTGTGATTGGACAGCCACAGAAAGTCTGGGCAGGGCAAGAAAGGGATGATTTACAAAGGCAGCAGACAGGAGAACGGAAGCTTTCGCTATCTGTTTTTAGATTAAGCTCTCCCTTAGCTAAAAGGGTAATCCAGGCAAGGACCCTATGCTCACTGTGCCTAGAGGGGTATTAGCTACACCTTGATGACGAGGCCCAAAACAGACTGGAAGGATCATCCAGGGTTGCTGAATACTTGCCGGAATGTTGGTTCTCGGCTGGCCTTATGGGTGGTATTAGTCTGATATCCAAATGGTACAGGCTCCCTCTGTAACGGCAGAAGTGAGCAAAAACTATTTTGAGACCTTAGAGGTGATTTACCGAAGGATAAACTATTGAGTTTCTCCCATTCTCAGAGTTCTCATAATCTCTGCTTCTATTTTAGATATATCCCCAATGAAAAAAACATAATTAAGAGCATGGATGTTTTCATTTGTGGTAAATCTACTAAACAATTATATTTTATATTTTTTGGGGGCATTGGAGTGTTCCTTTAATTGTATATATTTAAATCACATTTATTCTTTATTAGTGTAGTTAGGGTTTCCTAAAATGATCCTTGTCAAGCCTATATTTTCTTATTAAAAACACAACAAAATAAACCACAAAAAACATGAATAATCGTTAACCTTGATTGTATAAAAGTTTCTCATCTGCCTGATAGCATTAACATTATCACATTACTATGTGTAAACACAAAGTTTAATTATACTGCAAACCATCTGTGCCAGTTTAGTAGGTCATTATCAAGCTGTATGACTTTAGGACAGGGTGTCTTCACCGGATTTCCCATTATCTCTTAGATACTTTTCTAAATTCACAGGAGTCTGTAAAATTGACTAACATCACTGGTTGATCTGTTCATGGAAGAGTATAGTATTTAGCATTCAGGGATTGAGCAGTTTAAGGGCTGAATCCATTCGTGGTTCTGCGAGAGTTGTTACTTTTCTCAGGCTGAGATTTCTATCCCTGTCCATTGCGGGATTAAGAGCCATTATGGCGGGCCTAATTCCAGAATCATAAAGACAGAAAACATGTTGCAAAATGCGGAAGGTAGAATAGCTGGGCAAATGCACATGATAACGGGGGAACATACCACACACGTGTTTAGTGCTTCGTTGTTCCCCATGCAACTGAAAAGAGGTTTGGCAACCTTTATTTTACCATTAACAAAGAACACACATTGATTAGGATTTCACAACAGACATATTTCTTTAGAGAAGAAAGTACATTCCAAACAAATAACTCAAGAACTTTTCTAACTGAACTTTGTTGCAGGCTTAGTCATGATATCTACTGTCGTCCTGTTGATTGGGCAGTGATCAAGAACAATGGCATCTTCATTGATTACTGATATGATGAAGTGGTGTTTGATATCGATATGCTTGTATCTTTGATGACAAACTGAATCCATGGAAAGAGCTACTGCTCCCTGATTGTACTGGCTCATATTGACATTTATTTGACTATTCACCTGAGCGAATGCATTCTGCTTAGTTGTAGTTGGATTACAGGTAATTAAAATACTTTCTTTTTGCAGGTTTTAGGAAGTACATAATGAATAGTGCCCTATAGGGCATTATTTGTAGAAAAAATGCAGTTCAATAAAGGTATGGGAATAATAATATAATAAAACATGAAGGTATATACAATGCTTCTTTTAGGCACTCAATTCCTTTACTGTCAGGTAGGTGAATCTCTTAATCAACACTCCTCACTGCTATATCCGCTGCCCTTTTCCCATTAGCAAGCTCCATAAAGTGTTTCTCTGTCCTAAAGGTGTTATCAAAGTTAATAATGTTGACCTTGCATCGACCATTAGCCTTTTTTTTCGTATTAGCTCATCAAGTTTGTCGTCTATGATTTTGAAAATATATGAATGTCTGTTATCATCATTGTATGCAGCTTGTTTAACATTAACGCTTTTCTTGCGCCTTCAGTCTGCATCTCTGTGTGTGGGGCTATTACAAAAGTTACACCACAGTGACTGGCCGCCATTTTTATTACTGGAGCATGCTCTGGCCCTGTGCCTCTTTGGCCACAATTGTAACAAATGATAGTGAAGAGTCGTCCTTCATTTTAAATCTAAGAGTCACATTGACATTGTTCACTTTTATCACTCTCAATACGCAATACTTCTGAGTGTCTACAATACTTCTTCACTGTGTCTTCAACTCTACAATATGGTGTAGATAAAGCTGAAGGGGCACTTGCAAAATGCATTTTAAAGAATACAAATACCCTATGTTAAATTCTGTCTTTCAACGCTCATTCAAAGTCTATCTGTAACCATATTACAGGGCCCCACAGCTCTCAACTTTATTTTAAACTTTAGCTCTGTGTCATTAATCACAAACTCTGAATTTTCCTTCCTCAGGACTCACTCGTTTATTCCTCTCCTTATTAGCAGCCAGAAGCTCTTGGTATGCAGCCTACTGCAGAGAAAATGGTGGATATAGTGAGTGTAGCAGGGGATGAGCCACATTGCCACATGATAGCTAGGAGATGTTGGGCTGTAAGAGAGATGGAAGCAACAAGGGCATTTAAACAGTGTAAGCCAGCTTTATGTGAGCTACTTCATAGCCAACCAGTCCACACAAGTTTTTCCCCCGCATCCTTCCTATGTTCCCATGTTCAATTTTTCTGCACAACTTCGCTGAGTAAGAACATGAGAGAACCAGTGAACCAAAAAAATGTGTTTTTAGGGTCAAAAAGATTATTCCATAGCAGGGAGCATGGCCTTGTTTATCAGGTTCTGTCCCAGTCTACTCTAAATGCAAACGGTAGACCAGGGGTGCCCAAAAGCTAGATCCGGAGATCTTTTAAAACTACAGCTTTCATGGTGCTTTGTGGGCGAGAGACCTCACTTCCATTCCAATATTTCTTAAAATGAAGGCCACCTAATTTCAGGGTACTTTTGTAATAGCATATTTCTATACATTGTAAGCTATTCCTAAAATTGGAAATATTGAATAGATCTTGAAAATCCATTTGCTTAACCCAGCTTAAATTACTTATCATATTGAAATGTAATTCAAACTTTCAAGAGTTGAAAGACTTATTTAAGGTCGAAAAATTTTGCTTTTATGTTTTGGGTACTCGTATAAAGATACATGTGGAATTTTAGGAATACTGGATTTTTTTTAGTGTACATTTCTTTTAATGTTACTTTTTATAAGTGTAGCAGGGCTTATTTGTAATTTATTTATTTTAATTTTAACATTTGACAGGTTTTACAAAGAAATGGCCATGGTACATAAACATAGGTACAAGTTACAATACATTAATAGGTCGACACAGTAAAGAGTCTCATTTTAACATGAGCTAGGCACAGTACCATACATGGTTAGAATGTCCTAAAACCTATTGTTCCTGTAAGTTTTCTTGTAATTGTCCTATTTATAGTTAAAGCCCCCCTCTCATAATATTGTAAAGCTCTATGGAATATGTTGGAGCTATATAAATGGCAATAACAATAATAATAATAATAATAATATTAATAATGAACAGCCCAATTATTCTCTCACACTTAGACCTGTCCTTGACTATCTTCCTTATCTTATGAATTGCTCATACTGAATAGTGTCATGATTCACAGTTCCGCTTTTTAAAAGGTACAGCCTTCATGAAAACCTCCTTGATTTTTATTGTCACAACATCACAATTGCAGAAAACATAAACTGAAAAAAAATTACTTGACTTTTTAGTGCTTTATATATATATATATTTTCAGTATTGTAATCAATACTTACATATTTTACCGTTATTTCTTGTTACATATGTAAAAATAAAAAAATGAATGTATTTAAAAAAAATAAAAACAAATGTTTTTTTTGTAATGTTACACTCTATACCAGTGATGGCGAACCTATGGCACGCGTGCCACAGGTGGCACGCCGCACCCCCTCTGTGGGCAAGCGGCCATAGGTCGCCGGAGGGAGGGAGGGTGCGCTCCGCCGTCGCATCCATAAGGTGGCACAAATGGCCGCCTTAGGGTGCACCGGCCCGGCGGGCGCAAGCCAGAGTGACCGGCAGGAGGTGAGCACATAGCGCACAGCGCTCCCTCCTGCCAGACACTCTGTGTAGCGTGGCCGAGCGCACCGCGGTACAGGAACTTATGTTTCCTGTACCCGGGCGGACGGAAATGAAGTGCTCACAGAGAGAGCACTTCCTGTCCGCCGGGTACAGGAAACTGAGCTCCGCGGCGCTCGGCCACGCTACAAGGTAGCAGACTGAGGGAGAGATGGGGGGGAGGGAGAAGGAGACTGAGGGAGAGATGGGGGGAGGGAGAAGGAGACTGAGGGAGAGATGGGGGAGGGGAAGGAGACTGAGGGAGAGATGGGGGAGGGGAGGGAGAACTGAGGAGGGGGGGGGGGAAGGAGACTGAGGGAGAGATGGGGAGGGAGAAGGAGACTGAGGGAGAGATGGGGGAGAGGAGAAGGAGACTGAGGGAGAGATGGGGAGGGAGAAGGAGGTGAGAGATGGGGGGAGGAGAACTGAGGGAGAGATGGGGAGGGAGAAGGAGACTGAGGAGAGATGGGGGGAGAAGGAGACTGAGGGAGAGATGGGGGGAGAAGGAGACTGGAGGGAGAGATGGGGGGAAGGGAGAAGGAGACTGAGGGAGAGATGGGGGGGAGGGAGAAGGAGACTGAGGGAGAGATGGGGGAGGGAGAAGGAGACTGGGGAGAGATGGGGGAGGGAGAAGGAGACTGAGGGAGAGATGGGGGGAGGGAGAAGGAGACTGAGGGAGAGATGGGGAGGGGAAGGAGACTGAGGGAGAGATGGGGGAGGGAGAAGGAGACTGGGGAGAGATGGGGGGAGAAGGAGCTGAGGGAGAGATGGGGGAGGGAGAAGGAGACTGAGGGAGATGGGGGAGGAGAAGGAGACTGAGGGAGAGATGGGGGAGGTAGAAGGAGACTGAGAGGAGATGGGGGAGGGAGAAGGAGACTGAGGGAGAGATGGGGGAGAGAGGAGACTGAGGGAGATGGGGAGGGAGAAGGAGACTGAGGGAGAGATGGGGAGGGAGAAGGAGACTGAGGGAGATATGGGGGGAGGAGAAGGAGACTGAGGGAGAGATGGGGGGGGGACTGAGGGAGATGGGAGAAAACTGAGTATGGGATGGGAGAAAAAAATGAGGGAGGGATGGGGGGAAAGAAAACAGGGGGGGGGAGAGGGGGGACGACATACATACAGCACCCCTGCCCTTCACATATCACCCCACAAAAAGACACACACCACCCCCCCACACACAAACACACCACCCCACACACATCACTCCACACACTGTACCCCTCAATGCAGTGTGTGTACACTCAGCAGTCTGTCTGTGTGTGTACACTCGGCAGTCTGTCTGTGTGTGTACACTCGGCAGTCTGTCTGTGTGTGTACACTCGGCAGTCTGTCTGTGTGTGTGTGTACACTTGGCAGTCTGTCTGTGTGTGTGTGTACACTCGGCAGTCTATGTGTGTGTGTGTGTTTAGCAGTCTGTGTGTGTATTCAGCAGACTGTGTACTCAGCAGTCTGCTAAATACAGACAGACTGCTAAGTACACAGACAGACTGCTAAATACACATACAGACAGACTGCCGAGCACACACACAAACTGCTTAATACACACACAGAGATGTTAATTAGTTTGGACAACTGTATGAGTTTTCTAAACTTAAACCTCAGTATTCAGGTTTAAATGCCGTTTTGGCACTTTGAGGGAAAAAAATTGGCATGTATTACGGTTTGGACACTTGGGCTCAAAAAGGTTCGCCATCACTGCTCTATAATATTCAGATTTAAAACTGACTATATAACGTTACACTGTGAATTAACAGACAATAATTTATTTTCATTAATACCTGGTGTTTAAGCAAGGGGATCTAACCAGGACTGGTTCAGGCATGCTGTCTGCCAACACATCCACTATTTTGTGTATAGGAATTGTGAGTCAACTTTTTGCTTGTGTTAAAAAGGTTGGAAAAACAATGGTATTAATCATACATGTTGTTAGGAAATGTGAAATAAAGAGGTAATAGGACAATAATCTTGCTTATTATGTTACCGAATCCTAATGATTGTGAGTTTTAGAATTTTTTACTGTAGTCGTATTTCTCCCAAAAAGTCTTTAGCACACATTCCTGGATTTAAATTGAATTACCTATTTAAAATATATAGACACTGATATTATGTCAGAGGGTTACTCTAAACACCATGACCACTTTAGTGATTTGAAACAATCATGGTGCTTGGAGTTTATATGTGCAGCATTTTGTTAAACAAAGATACAGAACTTTAGAGCCAGAGGTTTATTTTTGCCACCAGTAACATCATCAGCCAGCTCGAGAGCCAGCCCGAGAGAACAAGAGTTCCTGGCTGCTAATCTCAATTCTTTACATAGATTACGTCCGTCATCAGAAGGCATAGCATACTGGTGACAAATGACCAAGAACGACATGGCCCTCGATTTGTTCCACCAAAGTCCTCCTTCATCCCGATCTTAGTTTAGTCCCTCTCCCTGCATAGAGGTGGAATGATATCACGGAAGGAGGATTGGGCTTCATGGAGATTGCTATTCTTAGTTATATTTTTGCACGTAGTGATGAGAGCAGTGAGATAAGGAAGTGGTAGATTTGCTTTTGTTTGCTACTCATTGGTAGCCTACAAAGTACTGATGAAACTTTTATATTTGACTGAAATTAAGAAAATAGATTAGTTTAACTAGATCAACATTCACGTTTTGCATTGATATTCAACATTAAGGTGAATTCATATTTTGTAAAACAAAACAAAAAAACAAACAACATAGAATTGGATGGAGCATCAGCTCAGAGAGATCCATTTTTTATCTACTCAAACACAAAAACTCGATTTATCCTATTAATATAATTTTGTGATATAATCTATCAGGGTTTAAAGATTTACCCTATGTCATACATAAATGAATGTATGAACATAACTAGATAATTAAACTAAAGTGGTATTGCCCAACCATAAAGAATATTTTTTTTGGGTGGGGGGAATTAGATTGCAAATTATTGAGATAATTCAAAAGAGCAGTAAGGGCCAACTTAGCAGTAAGGGCCAACTTTAAAGTGAGCAGAGCATCATGGGAAAATGTATTTCAGAAAATTCTGGTATGCCAAGGCTTGCAACACTTCAACAGAGAGTTCTATAGGCAGAATGAAAAAAAAACGTTAAAAGAACTGAGAGGTACAGGTAGAATTTACTAAACAAATGTATGCTGCAATGGAATTTTTGTTTCTTTATTTTTCTTTCGGAGATTTAGCTGAATAAAATATGTCATATTCTTTTCATCCCTTTTAAAAATAAAAATTTAGAATAAAATTAACCTTTATTGGGCTATATTATTTACTGGAATATTAAAGAATATTGTCAAATTCTGAATATATATATATATATTTTTTTTCAGCTGATTAATAGAGTTTAGTTATAACGATACACTTAAAATAAAATAATATCATAAATTGATTTCATAGGGGAATGCAGCAAATTGTTCCAGAGAGTATAATGCAATGTCTATGTCTATTGCATTGTGCACAAAATTAATTGTAGCATGGATATACCACAAAGATGTTCTAAACACAATGAGAAATAACGTGTATTAAATGACTTGGTCTTCTCTTGTGTTTGAGTTCAATGATGGCTGGCAGAGAGAATAAAAGTCTGTTTTCCTAAAGCTGGCCATTTGTGGACAGCCAATCTGTGTATATGTAGTATAAAAAAAACAAAGTCTGAAAGTTAATACCCCAGGCGCCAAACACATGTCTGTGAAAAAAAGGGCTGGGGAAACCAGACATCTCTATGTGCAGTACATTAATTCATAATAGGCCCATTCTCTTATATTAAAGGTCAGATTGGTTTTATAAAATTAAACTCGGTCAACTATAAAACATTGCTTGCTTCAACATATCTAACAGATAACGGAAAATTCCCTTTTTTGATTTAGCTGGAGAGCCATCCGTCAGCTGCCTGCTTCTTTAAGCTGAATATTGACTTAGATTTGATCAGTATCATTTAAAAGCAGAGGACCAGTCTGATGGAATGTTAGCATATTTTTGTATCCATTGTATTATGATTATTCTTTTGATTGCGGTCAAAGAATAGTCTGTTAATAAATTAAGCCCCATGACTATACAAGGGTGTTGATAAACAAAGCATTTTAGCATCATTCCTAGATGTGTCATTGTGACAGAGATAGCAAAGCACTGGTTTAAAAATAGTTTAATTGCATAAGAAGATAAATCCAAATAGCCTTTGAAAAAAACATTCAAGGACATACTTAAAAAGTCAAGCAGTTCCAATTAAAAATAGCCTAAACAAAGCATGCATTTTAAGGAGGTGCAGGATTAACATATTAGTGTTTAATTTTTTTTTTATTTAATGTATACAAAAATCTCATGTTTATTTATTTGAAAAGTCAGTTACTTATAATGCCCTGTTAGTTATTTTGAAACATTATTTGATATACAACATAACAAATACACAGCTCCATATTGTTGCTACAGAAGGATTAAATGGTTACTCCAACCATCGTGATCACTTGTGATCGTGATTTGAAGTGGTCATGGTGGTAGGAGTCTGGCAGTGCAGTGTTTCTGCTTAGATGACTGCCAATCACTTGTGTTTTTATCTCAGTGACCTTAAGTATATCAGTGAGATTGTTTGTCTATGAGGATGTTTATCAATCAGTTTGTGTCAGTGAGATTGTCTGTGTCTGCATGTTAGTATGCTTACTGTATAATTAAAAATTTTACTCTGAAAGGACCAATATTTTATATTGGAAAAAGCTATATATATATATATATATATATATATAAAATAATGAAAAATCCTTGCACTCAGGCTATAATGGTAAAGTATACTTGCCGGGTGCTTTAACCTGGGACTTTGAATATCCAGTGAAAAGTAGTAATGGTAGCACTCACGGTCTTCAAAATCTTCTTTATTCAATGAGAATTAAAACATAAGGTCTAGGATCAACGTTTCAGTCCTCTCTCAGGACTTTCATCAGGATCAACCGTGAGTGCTACCATTACTACTTTTCACTATATATATATATATCATCTAGGGTGGCAAGACATAGCCTTACATATTACATGCGACAATATATGGCGCAATGACTTATGGGGCTGGCATAGATTTTTTTTCCAGGGCTGCTTTGGAATCCCCAGTCCGGCCCTGTTTATAGCACCCGTGCAATAGAATGGTTTTAAAATATTTACAATTTTCCAGCTCCGAGGTCCCTTTTAGCTCTTCACCCCCTGTGACGTCACCTCCTCAGTCAGTACAGCGTAAGCTCTTTAAATCTCACTCATCAGTATTTCCAATATAATGATATTTAAAAAAAAATAAAAAATTATTTTTTTAATGTGGATTTTCATTAATATTAATTTATTGAACATTTAGACTACAACAAGCTTCTAATACAACTGACACACATATGTAAACATTGGATTGTAGACTATCAATCATGCATTTATTGAAGTAACCAAATATTACTCAGAAAAAAAGAGAACTAACTTGTTTTTTTTTCTGCATTGTGAAATTTCAACTATGAATTCCACGGAAAAGCACTTAAAATAAATACATTGTGAAAATTATGACCTCTTCACTTCCAGGACTAAGTTTATTTTAACTCATACACTGTTTAACCACATTTTTAATTTGTAAATCTGTCTGCAAAGCAAACTATACACAAAATTGTTCTGTTATTTGAACAAAAAAGCGCTCGATAGTGAAGTGGTTAACGGTTTTCAGATACATAACATGTAAAATATATACGGCTGATGTGTCTGCTAGGTGGATCAGGCAGCCATCTACGGCGCATCGGCCTAGGGAGCGCAGTTTCTGGGTGACCAGCAGGAGGTGAGTATACAGTGCAATGCCCCCTCCTGACAGTCACCACAAGTAGAGGATCTTTGGTATCTCCTATCCGGTTTCGCTGAGAGCACTGAATAGCTTCTTGTCAGACCATGTAGAGGAAACAGGAGCTCCTGTACCGTAGTCCTCGGCTCAACCACGCTACAAGAGGAGGGAGGTGAGATGACAGAGGGCTGAGGGGGTGGAGTGACAGAGGGCTGAAGATGGGGGAAGAGAGGCACAAAGAGGGGGAAAGAGGCACACAGGGGGCATAGGGAGCTGAGGAGGAAGAGAGGAGGTACACAGAGGACTAAAAAGAGAAGAGGCACACAGAGTGCTGAGAAGAGGGGAAGAGAGGCACACAGAGGGCGGAGGGAAGAAAGAGGCACGCAGAAGGCTGAGACGGAGGGAAGAGGCACATAGAGTGCTGGGGGGAGGAGAAGCACACAGAGGGCAGGGGGAGGCACACAGAGGACTGGGGGGTTGAGAGGAACAGAGAGGGCTGAGTGGGGCAAAGAGGCACACAGAAAGACTGGGGGGACAAAGTAACCCACAGAGTGCTGG